TCCCACATATGAGGGCCAGTGACACTGCCCTCTACAGCTAAGATGCTGAACAACAGCTCAACCTGGAGCTGGGCTGCTGTGAGTCACCGGCGACAGCATAGGCTGCAGTCCCTGTGGCAGTGGGTTGCCATGGGCTACCGTATGTAGCCAGGAGCCAGCGTGAGCGGCCAGCAGCCACAGTGTGCAGCAGTCCAGAAGCTGGCGACTGATGTGCCTTGCCCGGGAAGAGTGCAATGATGGTGCCAACTTGGGCCAGTGAAGCAACATTCTCCACAACTAGATTCAAGAACAAAAAAACGACAGCAACTTGTCTGTTCCCCTTCCCCCAATTCCCCAGCACTGTTCCCATCCCCCCAATTCCCCAATTAAAAAACAAAACAAAACATTGTTGGGGACTATTTGATGTGATGGGACAAATGTTTGTTATGTATTAACTGAAATAAGCAGTTGATGAAAGCTGTTTGTCTATAATAATATAGAGTAAAAAGTTTAGAAGACTATAAACCAAATGTTTAAAAAAAAGGGTTCTCTCTGGCTGGTAGAATTGTAAGTAATTTTTCTAATCTTTTCTGTTTATAGGGGTTTTCTGAATGTTATATAATGTAGCTTTTATAGTAAGAAAAAAGTCAATTTTTACATAAAATTCAACGGAAAAAACTGGCATTAAAGAGCATCTTAAACTCACCTATACAGTGTCACAATGGAAACTGTTTTAAAAAATAGGAATCATGATTTCAAACAAGGAAAACAAAAATATTAGGTGTATAGAAATCTGAGCTCTCTAAAAGTTGCATCCTAGCTCCCATGATTTTGCATTCAAAATTCTAAAACTACCAATATTCATATACCTAAGTACTTTTAATTATAACTGAAAACATAAGAATAGAAATGAAAGTTTTAACATATTTTCCAAAGGTCAAAGAATCTTTCAGTAATATTTATATATGAAGAATTGCCCACCAATTTACAAAGAAAACATAATATATCAATTACTATCTATGTGAACTACAAAAAGATTGCATCATCCAAAAACCCCAATAAGCTCTGAAATAATAAAGCTTACTGCAGGACCTGCCGCCTACGTCCCCAACATTGTTACCTGATCAGCAAACTGGGTCATGTAGCGCTGGAGTCTGGTCTGGTTGTCGGTCTGCTCGCACATCTGGACTAAGATATCAAAGTCACAGTATTTTTCTGCCAATGAAGCAGCCCATAGGTACTGGCCTAGTGTGACTGTGGAAATGAAAATAGACAGGAAAAAGCCTATTAGAGAAAACTTAATATGTAATAAAAAACGTTACTTGCAATTTTACATTTATTCCTATTACATACTAAAATTAATTAATGGAGTAGAAACCTTTCCAGTTACTGGCATTTGGTTTCAGAATCCATACAAAATCATTAAAGATGCAAACTCAGGCCCTTGCTTCATCTCTGCCTACCTAAGATGCTATTCCCTTCAGGTACCAGCAAAACAAGCTACTCCTAATCCTAACGAGCACAGGCTGAATACACAATGCAGCCAGCTGTACACAGGTGCTTTAAGTCCTTGGCACAGCTGGACTAATGCCATTGGACTGAACACACTGCACGGACGATGTGACTCCTTCACCGGCTCCACAAACTCCAAGACCCCCAGTCCTGGCGGAAAGCCATGTACTCACGAAGCGGAGACAGGAGATGCGCTCTCTTCTGCAGGTACTCCATCTCCAGGTTGTTGTATCGCTCCTGATCACTGGACTTGTCCAGAGACTTCAGCTGCGACACATAACCATCCAGGAAACAATCAATCAGAGCTACAAGCTGCTCTATCAGTACGTTGCGGAGGCTGCTGTCGGCCTGAGGGTAAACCACTTTTAGGGCAACCGCATGCTGGCGTAGTATTGCTGTTCTGATGCCTGCAGGCCCACTCGTTGCTGTAAAATCACACAAAGTTAACATGTAAATAAGGGTTCCAAAATGGCTCAGGGAAAGACTAACTGCCTAAAAATTATATCACTTCACCACTGCTGGACAAATAAATCAAACAGGGTTCAGCTGATGCCTTTCTGTCTTCTCCAGGTAAACATGACCCTTCTTCCTTCTAAATCCCTTTCATGCAACTCCACTCACTTTCTTGTATTAAGTCAGCATAAGATACAGCCAGTTCCTCCAGGGCCAGGATCTGCTTTTATGAGTAATGGTGTGTACTGAGACCTAGTGGGTGTACAGTGAGTTCTACTGAAATGAATAAATCTGAGACCTATAAATTATTCAAGGGAATCAAGTGATTTTCACAAGAACTGTTCAGTTTGGAGATGGCACTTAGGTTATTTTTCATTTCACTTGCAGACCTACACTAGGGGAATAATACAGCTTCTAAAAATGATGGCTCATAGAAATTTATTTTGAAGAACTGCTAGTAAATTGGTATTTTGGGGTCAGTGCTTGCAATCTCACCTGTCCATGGAATATATTCAGGTTCGTTTTCCAGTGTTTCTTCTCTTCTATACAAGGAGTTTTTATTATGTCGATAATGACAAGCAGCTTGCAGCATGTCCTGGAGAAAAAGGGATGCATTACCGTAGGCAGAAAGTGAGGAACCCCAGTGTTTCTGAAAATAATCAGGTCTACAGAATTACTTTTTGTTCTTTCTGTATTTGAAATTTTTTTTTTTTTAAAGACTTTATTAGGGAATTAGGGAAGGGAACAGCTGTCCTTCAATCTAGTTGCGGTGGGGCGTAGCCCACCAACCCATGTGGGAGTCGAACCGGCAACCTTGTTATTAAGAGCGTGCGCTCCAACCAAGCCATCCAGCCACCTGTTAGCAGCTCACAGCTGCTCAGCACAAGGTGCCATGTTCAATCTTAATTGCAGGGGGGCGGGGGGAGGGGCACAGCCCACCATCCCATGCAGGAGTCGAACCGGCAACTCAGCTCAGGCACAGCTCACTGGCCCATGTGGGAATCAAACTGGCAACCCTGTTGCTCAGACCTTTGCACTCTAACCAACTGAGCCACCCGGCTGGCCTTTAACTCTAACCTTTAACTTCAATTTTGGAAAACTAAAGTAACCAAAGTCAGAAAGCCATTATTATAAAGTGCATTAGCTAAAATTAATGGAACATTTTGATCAGTAAAACAAGTTAGGACAATTAAGTTTGTGAACTCATCCTAGAAAAAGTGCTACATACCCCATTGCTGAGTATCACTACGGTCACTTTCAAAGTACTCCCCTTGGGAAGCTACGCACTGACGCCAGTGCCTAATCCACCCTTCAAAGCAATTTTGGAACTCTTGTTCTGGAATGGCCATCAGAGCTATCGTTGTATTAACCTTGATGTCCTGATTGTCATCAAAATGTCTTCCTTTCAAAATTTCCTTTATCTTTGGGTAAAGAAAGAAGTCATTGGGGGCCAGATCAGATGAATAGGGAAGGTGTACCAATACGGTTATTTGTTTACTAGCTAAAAACTCCCACAGACAGCGCCGTGTGAGCTGGCATTGTCAGGATGCAAGAGGCATGAATTGTTGGCGAAAAGTTTAGGTCATCTAGCTTTTTCACGCAGCCTTTTCAGCACTTCCAAATAGTAAAGTTGGTTAACTGTTTGTCCAGTTGGTACAAATTCATAACGAATAATCCCTCTGGTATCAAAAAAGTTAGCAACATCGTTGCAGCAAGTTAGCAAACTTAATTGTCCAACCTCATAAGTAGTGAGCTTTTGAGTAATTAAAAAATAGAGACTTACACAGTTACATTAGGATTAACACATTATATATATCTCCTTCCTTCTCCAAATAAAAGGTTTGCTGTACCAAATAAAACTCAGGATTGCAGAAACTTTTAACATGCACAAGGCAAAGATTCAAAACAGTTGTTAACCGACTGATAAAATGACTAAATCTTTCAGTTTGGAACAAATGGCTAAACTCATATCAAGTACTGGTGATACATAGCAGGGACACAGGAACCACTCTGTCTCCTATCCACACTCTGGGCTTCGACGTGCTGAAATGGCACCGCGTGTTGGTACCTTGAGAATACTGTTCACATTGACCACGATCTCAGCCCACTCCACTGACTCCATCGATGTGTCCTGTAGGACTTGCTCCTCGTGCTCCAGCAAACACTCACAGATGGTGTCTATCTGGGAAACCTAAGGGAGCAGACAGAAGTCAGCTTCTCATCACAGAAGCTATGACGGGCAGCACTTACAGCCCCCAGATTCTACTCAATGGCTGTCCGCATCAAGTCAGACCCTCAGCACATTAGTCAGAAGCAGTTAATGGTGAAAATAAACGTAAAAACTAAGAAAAGGGAGAGTCACATAACTTTTAAATAACTAAGTCTTATCAATTAGCAAATTCTGGATTGTTGGTAAGTAGATTTTTAACTTAAATACCAAGTATGGCCGGCCCTCCATATCTGCAGTTCTGCATCCATATCTGAGATTCAACCAATTGCAGATCCAAAATAGTAAGAAAAAAAAATGTCACCTTGTGGCACATGTGCACTGTGTAAAAAAAGGTCTAAACATGCACAGACTTTTTTTCTCATCATCACTCCCTAAACAATACAGTATGACAACCATTTACACAGCATTAGGCATTATAAGTAATTCTATTACTATTACAAGTCATCTGGAGATGATTTAAAGTACACAGGAGGAGAAGCACAGGTTAGAAGTGAATACTACACCATTTTACATAAGGGAGCTAAGCATCTGCAAATTTTGGTACTGGGGGTGGGTTCCTGGAAACACTCCCTCCAGACACCAAAGAGCGACTTTAACTGAAATGTTTGTTTCTTATAGACATTAGTGCTGAATGCCACTTTTAAATAGAACTAGGTTACAAATGATGTCACATTACAATGTAAGACCCCAAACAAATGAATTAAACTAGTAGATTAAAATAATGACCCAAACTAATGAACTTGCTATTTTCTTTCTTTGAGGAATTCCTCTTCTTTAGACATAACAGAAGTGTTTGTAAAAAAGCAGGAGCTCTACAGAAAATAACCAAATATGTAACTTCAAACTGTTCTTTTTTTTTGTCATTAACATATGAAGATCTGGGTACAAAATGTTCGTAAGCACTGAAACACTGGTTTGCAGGTTCAGGTTATCGTTAAGCTTTCCCCCTTTACTTACTAGGCGGCACTCACTTAGTGTTTCAAGTTTACAGAGCACGGGGCACTGCCGAGCTAAGAAACACAGGAACCAGGCACTTACAAACCAGCTGAAGAAACAAGACGGCCCCACAGAATGTGCCTCCACAAAGCCATCCTGTCTTGTAAACCTGTTCTTCTTTGTATTTCTGATGTCAGTCCGAGGCATCCTAACAGTTCTAGCAAGTAGCCTTTGGCACATGTAATTTGTAAGATCAAATGTAAGAATTTGTGAGAAGGATAAAGAAACGTATAAGCTATAAAAGGCAGAAAATCATCTAAAAGCAGATAAAATGCCCAGACACTTGCTAATCACCCTGATCATGTGAGTGGCATATTCGGCAGCTTCCAATGCTGCTCATGTGCTGTGTCAACAACATGGATTGTTCCTTAAGCAGTGAGTCGCCTCTGCTTTATAGAGCCCTGGGGGTGCTGGGCTATGTCCCAGGCAGCAGACACAGTGGAAAGTGCCCCCGCGATTCTGTGTTATTGCCTTCCTATCAGGGCTACCGGATCACATCTCCCCTAATATCCCACCAATCAGAATGATTTGGGTTACCTGCTTGTCCCTTAAAATGTTGGTAATGCAATGTGCCACTCCCAAGTGAATGGACAAGCAAAGAGAAAGACAATTATTTACATATGCATTTTCATTCTATTCACATACACACCCTCTTTCCAGCTCTTTTTATTACGGTTATGAGAGGACCTTTAGAACTACACCCAAAAGGACCAGAAGGTCAGTAAACATCACAAGAAAGTAAGATCAGTGGTGACACAAAGCCTTCAACATTCCATTTCCACATGGAACATTCCCTTGAAACCAATCACATTTTTAGTTTTGTTCTATCATGTTCCTAACGTACCACTCAGGAATTACATATCCAACTGATAATTTCTTGACTTACTTCAGTGCATTTGAAAATGTGCATACACTGAACCAACTAGTATGCTTTGCACTTTGATCCAAATGCAGAAAAAGGAACCAGGCTCTTGCTCAATTCTTTCAAATAATTTGTCATTAACAATTTTTAAAAAAATCTTTGTTTTACAATGTAAAAATCATATATGAATAAAGGAAAAAAAAACACCACAAAAATTAAGGCCATAAAATTTGAGGTGCGTTATTTTTTTTTTCCTTCACTCAGAGCTGGGGCATAGCTCCTGGATTTAAAAACAAAACAAAATGTGCTTTGCCTTACATCCCCTAGAAAAACAATTAACCGAAAGGTACGAAAACAAGGCATTCATCAAACTGCATTTATGGAAATCAAGAGAAAACGTGAACATAGTTCAGTGTCTTAAATTATTTTTAGGTTACAATACATCAAATATTAAGAAAAAAAGACTCCTTGGCATAGCCTATTAGGTGCTAGATAACAGCTAGACTGTAGAAAAAAAGAAGTAAAAGCAGAGGCACCAAATACAGTTAAAAGCTCCTCAAATGCAGAAAATGATTCCAAATTTCACATAGCTGGGGGAAGAGCTGGCACTGTTTCTAAAATCAGATAATGCCACAAAGGGAGAAGGGACAGTCCATGTTCAGGACAGCAGAGGCCACCTACTGGCATGGCCGGCTCAGAACCAGGCTCTATGGGCTTGGTTAAGACAGCTGGCCTCTCTGAGTCTTAAAGTCAGCATCTTTTCGGGGGTGGGGGTGGGGGGTGAGTCAAATCCCTGCCACCTCCCGAATCGGGAGGCAGCTCCTGAGTACGGGGTTATGTGTTGCTGCTACAGTGCCTGGCTGTCACCGGCAGGCCGGCATCTTAATCTTTTCTCCCCGAAGGTTACAGGTTTTCTTTCCTCTGAGAATAGATCTGATTTTCAAAATGAGGTATACAGCAGGACCCTGGCAGGTAGCTGAGGGGAGTTCAGTGAAGAGACTGTTAAGACAGGCATGTGTGGGCGGGAGTAAGGGGACCACACGGGTGGTGCAGCACCCTGGGCTGGCAGCAGGGACCACGATGAAGCCCAGGCCTTTGGGGACATGGGAGAGAGTAGTCCTGGAAATGCAGACAGACCACACCCTTGGGACCCGAGAGGGCACAGCAAACTGCAGTGGCAGCAGGCAGGAAGGAAGCTGGGGGAATGGCCACCCATTTGACAGTGCCTTCCCTTCGGCAAACTCAACAGGAAGCCAGAGGCAAGGAGCCTACTAGCGAAGGTGCCCTCCTGGGTCAGAGTAAAGTAGATTTGGAGACTAAGGGAAGCCAGCCAGCACACGACATGGAGGCCTTCTCCGTCAGCTTTGCAAGCTCTCACTTATAAGGCAGGCAACACGTGAGTGATACTTTCTGAGTGGTAATTTACCCAGAAAACATGGAGTCAAATTTAAAATTCCACCGAGCTCTTTTGTCCTCAGGCCTTGCCCTGCTGGGGGCATGGTCACTACGTAAACAAACTGCAGGGCTACCCAAGAGGCCATGTCAGGAGACAAAGACACTCATCTTACCTCTCTAAAGAAGACATCCGCAGGGGTCAGGCTGGGTGGGACTTCACAGGCCCTCCTGTTCAAAGTGTTCAGTATCACTGTGTTCATGAGGTCAGGCAGCCGCGAGTGGTGGTTCTTGAGAACAGTAGCAGCTGACAACTTCTCTGCATGCTCACAGAGCAACAGTCGGGTTGCCATGGGCACCCCTCTGATTGAGAAGGTGCCCAGATGTCCGAATAAGCCAACCTGTGAAGACACACACACACACACGTTCTTGGAAAGCATTTATGGTAACACAAATAATGCAGTCGGATGAGCGCTAAGAGCAACACAAAATACTGCAGCCATGTTTCCAGAAGCACGCTGGGTACAGAGCACTGCGCTGCTCTCCCCAGAAAGTGCCTCCAGCTGTCTCTCCTTCTGGCTGTTTCTGTCTCACACACACACACACACACACACACGGCACCCCTTCCCTCGACACACACACTTCGGCTAGGCATTTCTGTTCTAAGATGAGGGTCACTCCAGGTTTCTGTCCACTGCTGCTGTCTCTCCCCCTCTTATTTGTCACAGTACTGGTTATGGTCATCAAAATGGTAAAATCACTTCCCCATCTACGTCCACTGATTTCCGCGAGCTTCTGGATCTTTGTGAACTAGCAGTTGGCGGTCTCTGTCTTCAACTGATTTCCAGACCCCTAAAGGCCTGGGGAGGGTGAGAGACTTTAACAGTCGCATCTCCTACCTGATTGGCTTGTCGCCCCTTTCTGGTGGGTTACGAGGTCCCAGCGTTCCTAAGCTTTCTATTTAATAAAGCAATCCAGTAACCGGAACTCAGGAGCCAAGCAGACGTAAATAATAAATACTCTCCCACATTTAAGTATAATCCATTTCCTTCATAAGTGCCCTGAGTTTTGTATATTGAGGTTTATTGTAAACACAAAAAAAGTACACAGAAAACAAGTGAGCAATAATTAAATCCCCAGAGAACACTACTGCTACAAGCAGCAGCTGTGTGGAGAGAAAGCACCGGCAGAGGAAAAGCCTGAGCCCCAGCTAGCTCTTCTCCAAGCGCAGCTGCCGCTAAATCTCGTCCTAACTTGATGTGCTTTTATGGCACTGTGTGTGAGGAGTCACCTCTTCTAAACACAGGAGTCCTGTTCCTTCTTTGATAGCACCATGCTTTTTCACAATACCTTTAGACATCCCTCATCACTTTTAATGACTACGGGATGTTCCAATGAATCAATCTGTCTTAACGTGTACCACCTGTGCACCAGTCATTTTAAAATAAGAGTGACTGAGCCTCCCTGTCTGAGCCTCTCCAGGGCCCTCACAAGAACTGCGGTGCAGTTTTAGGAGGGGCCCCCCAGCCGCCCTCTGCACTGCCACAGTGAAGGAGAACCAGAAGCTCACAGTACTGCAGCCACATAATGAGTGGGTCACAGGAGGCCCTGCTCCTGCTCCTCCCTATGAAGTGTGGGGGCACAGGCTGCCCCAACAGCAGCAACCAGAGGCCAGGACGCTGCCTGAAGACCCGCTGGCACCCCCACGGCCCCACAGCTGCTGAGTGTGCTCCAAGGGGAGAGACTCACAATTGGAATTGCGGCCTCAGATACCAGCACCTGGGGACACACGCTTCCTGCTCGTTCACATAAATTCACCAGTGAAATCAGCGGATATAAAGGCAGAGCCGAATGAGATTTTCAGATCTCGCTGGACATTACCTCGCAATGAACACTCCCACCAACAGCAGCACCGTGACTCCACTGGGGTCTCTGAAGCCCACGGAGTCTGTGCGAGGGCTGCTGCAACTGCTCATGCCACGCACGTCTGTCACTTCTGATAATTCGTATGTCCGCAGCATGGCATGTCAGGGCCACCGACTCCTCCCACCCCAGGATGCACACCTCTGCAATGTGACTTTGCCGCTCCTCCCAGTAAGAGGTAGGATCCATTTCTCAACCCCTTTCATCTGGGCTGGCCTTGGGATTTGCTTTGACCAATATCACTCTGCTGGGAGTGCCGCTGTATGACTGACACCTGAGCTGAGACACTAAGAAGCCTGCAGCTTCTGAGACCACGCCTGTGGGTACTGCCCTGAGACCACAGGAAGTCAGTCCAACATAAAGGAGGATGAGAGAGTAAGTGGAAGAGAACCAAGTAGCCCCTGCTGCCAGCTAGGCAAGAAGCTTGGGGCTTTTTGGCCCAGCCCGCCTGACGCAGCTCATGGAGTGGTCCAGGGGAAGTGAGCAGAGGCGCCCCCAGCCCACAAAACTGTGCATCCACCACATTCTGGGGTTTGTTATGTATTAACAGTTCATAGTCACTATTAGTAGTTAATACTGCCACTTTAGTAATTAAACAATTCCACCAGGCCAAATGCTGCGTTCTCCCCGTTAGTCTGGAGCCTCAGTGAACGTGTGGCGCTCTCCTGGCAAGACCGTGAGGGCAGATGGCAGCCAGGCCAGAAGCAGAATGCGTGTGGGCTCACGGTCAGTCGTGGTGTTTCTGGAACCATCCAATAAGGCAACCACTGCCCACCAAAATGGAGATTTAAATTTAAGGGAATTAAAACTAAATTTAAAAACTTTAGTCCCTCAGTTGTACCAGCCACATGTCACGAGCTGAGCAGCCACATGTGACCAGCAGCCACCACACTAAACACAGATACAGATCGTTCCTGTCACCATAGGATGTTCTGTCAGGCAGCATTGACTAGAATCTCTTTAACATGAGAGCAATACTGACTTTGGAAAAAACAAGGAAAAATGGCATGAAATCCATTCATTTGGATAGATAATATGCTGGAAGCCATTGCTGATGGTAAAAATGGGTAATTTTATGTAACAATTCTGTCTAGCAGCAAAAACATTTCCTAATTTTAGGTTCAATATAAACAAGGATATCCCTTCAGGAACCACAAAAGACCCTGAATAGCCATGGCAATCCCATGAAAAAAAAACAAAGGTGTAGGTATCACACTACCTGGTATCAAACTACAAGGCTATAGTGATCAAAACAGCATGGGACTGGGCCAGCCGAGTGGCTCAGTTGGTTGCTCAGTTGGTTAAGAGTTGGCTTGGGAGTACAAGCTCTGAGCAGCAGGGCCACCGGTTTGGTTCCCTCATGAGGGCCAGTGACGCTGTGCCCTCTACAGCTAAGATGGTGAACAACAGCTCAACCTGGAGCTGGGCTGCCGTGAGTGGCCAGCGATGGTGTAGGCTATAGTGGACTATCCTGAGCTGCCCTGAGCGGCCATCCAATGGCCGGCGAACGACTGCCTCAGCCGGGAAGAGCGCAATGATCATAATACCAACATGGGCCAGTGAAGCGGCGTCCTCCACAACTAGACAGACGAACAAAAGGACAGCAACTTGTCTGTTCCCCTTCCCCGATTCTCCAATGCTGTTCCCCTCTCCAGTTCCCCAATAAAATCTTTAAAAACCAAAAACAAAAAACAGCATGGGACTGGGATAAAAACAGACACATAGATCAATGGAACAGAATGGAAAGCCCAGAAATAAACCCATACCTATTTGGTCAATTAATCTATGACAAAGGTGGCAAGAATATACAAAGGGTAAAGACAGTCTCCTCAATGAACAGTTTTGGGAAAACTGGACAGACACATGCAAAAAAATAAAACTAGACCCTTTCTTACACCACATACAAGAATAAACTCAAAATGGATTAAAGACTTAACTGTAAGACCAGAAGCCATAAAACTCCTAGAAGAAAAGTTAGGCACTAAACTCTCTGACACTGGTCATAGTAATCTTTTTTTCTGATACATGTCCTCGGGCAAGAGAAACAAAAAGAAAAAATAAACCAATGGGACCAGGTCAAACTGAGAGTTTTTGCCCAGGGAAGGAAAGTATCAATAAAACAAAAAGACAGCCTACTGAATGGGAGAAGATATTTGTCAATGATACATCTGATAAGGGGTTAATATCCAAAATATATAAGAAACTCATACAACTTAACACCAAAAAAACAAAAACAAAAACAAAAACAAGACAATCCAATTAAAAAAGGGCAGAGGATCTGATTAGACATTTCTCCAAACAGGACATACAGGTGGCCAAAATACATATGAAAAGATGCTCAACATCAGAGAAATGCAAAAACCACAATGAGATACCATTTCACACCTATCAGAATGGCCATCATCAATAAATCAACAAACAAGTGTTGGGAAGGATGTGGAGACAAGGGAACCCTCGTGCACTGTTGGTGGGATTGTAAATTGGTGCAGCAATTCCACTTCTGGGGATTTATCCGAAGAAATCCAAAACACTAACTTTAAAAGATATATGGGGCCGGCCGAGTGGCGCGATGGTTAAGAACTCGCTTGGGATGCCAGAGGGCCCCGGTTCGGATCCCACATATGAGGGCCAGTGACAC